TCGTCCGCGACGAGGCGTTCTCAATGGCGGCAGCGAGTTGCTGATCCACCGTCGCCGTTAGCGGGCCCGGGTAGACGCCGCTCGTGGCGATCGTTGAGACCGCCCCGCTCTGCCCGCCGACGAGCACCCAGCGGCTGTCGAGGTTCAACCAATTGTACTGGTCCATAACAACCTTGGCCTCGGTTTCGCTGAGGTTGCGGGCGACGATGTCGCGCTCGAGGTCGATCGGCTCGTTGTGATTCATCGGCGCCGTCAGGGCGGCGGCCCCTTCGGTCTGTTTGGGGGGGATCAGTTCGCGGCGGCCGACGCACAGGGCCAACGTGCTGGTCACGTTCTGCGGCGTCATTGGCTGACCGGCGTTGTCGAACAACCCATAGACGCGATCGATGTTGCCTTGCGGGGAGAACAACACCATCACCGGGTTCCGCATCGCGACGAAGTCGTTGGTGGCGGAATCGATCGACGCGTAGCTGGGGCGGAAGACCCTCAACCCGGAGGTGAACACGCTCGCCTGCAAGTCGACAGCCACGCTACCGGGCATCTCCAGCGGCTCGCCCCCCGCGGGGACGGGCTGGCGCTGGATTTGGTACGGTGTCGGCGCCGTCGCGAAGAAGGTGGAGCTTGAGCCGCTGGCCTGCAACTGCTGCTGACCGACGGCGACGCCCTCGGAGTCGTAGAGGAAGCTCAGATTCGCCGAGTCGGGGCCGGCGATCGTCACGCTAAAGACGGGATAGTTGGCTGAGGTGTAGTTGCCGGTCGTATTGAAGTAGCCCTGGCCGCTGCTGGTCGAGTCGATCGGCGTGTAGGCGCGACCGGCGAAATTACCAGTCGCCGCTCCGAGCACGAACGCGTGCTTGCCGACGACGACCGTGTCGCCCGGGCGCAAGAAGCGATCAGGGACGAGGTCCACGTCGTAACCGGCGGGGAGCATGTCAGTCCCGGGGGCATTCACCGTTCCTAGACGCACGAACTGCAGCGCCAACTGCTGGCTATTGCTGTCGATACAGACCCTCGCCAGCGACGAGCTATCCATCCCCGAGTAGTGCGGCGGGACCTCGACGTACTCGGCCCGCACGCAGACGGCGTTGTCGGCGCCGCGCTCGGTGTCGGCCGACAGGCGTTGGAAGGCGACGCCGAACGGCCGGCCGGTCTCGATCGCCCGCGCCTGGGCGCCCTGCAGGTAGGCGTTGAGGTTCCGCGACGCCTCGCGGATCCGCTTGTTGTCCCCGCCGGGCGAGAGGATCGGGATCACCGTGGTGACGAGCGTCGTCACCAAGACGATCACGACCAGCAGCTCGACGAGCGTCATTGCGGATTGGCGATTGCGAATTGCGGATTGCAGCTTTCGAAAGCTGACCGCTGACCGCTGATTGCTAACCGCTCTTTCGAAGCGCATCGCTTCGTCCTGTTGGTTGGGAGTCGCCATTGGCCCGGCGGCTCGCCAAGGTGGATTCATCTTGTTTTGAATACTTGTGGCCTGGATGACTTGCGACCCCGTTTACTTGCGACCCCAGTTACTTGCGACTGAGCTCGCCGACGTTGTGGTTGGTGATGTCGTCGCCGGCGAGCTCGGCTTCGATGTCCCGAGCAGCGTCGTTCGGGGTGTCCGTCGCCTCACCTAACAAGACGTCGGCATAAGGGTTGAGCGTCGCGATGTAGTCAGCTCCGCTGAGGGTTCGCACGCCGATCTCCTCATCGCCGCCGCCCGAAATGATCAGCGGCGTCAGCCGCCAGCCGCGTAGCAAGCCGGAACCGGCGGGCGGGTCCAAGCGGAAGAGGTCGAACGGGTCGTGGTCTTCGAGGAGCTGTTCGGCGACGACGTTCGGGCCCAGGCGGGGGTTGCTCGCGGTGCGCTCGAGAGACCGGAAGCTCAGCTGCGCGTCGGAGTCGAAGCCGGGGGCCCAGCGGAGGAACGTGATCGGCTTGCCCCAGCCGTCGAGGAACTCAAACGCGCCGTCGCCATCGGTGTCGCCGATGTCGTTGGGCTTGAACATACCCCGCGCTTCGCCGTCGCCCGTGGCGTTCATAATGATCAGGTACAGGCACTCGGCCGATTCGTTTGCGAGAATGTCGTCGTCGGTGTTGGGTAGTCCCGTCACCGTGTTGGTACGCCCAACCAATTGGTTGTAAGCCCTGGCGTAGGTCTCGTAGAGAGCGGGGACTCGCTGGAGCACGACGCCGGGACGGCCCGAGCTAGGAGGTATGATCTGCGGCGGATTCTGCACGGCACCGTTGAGTATGTCGCTCCAGCGATCGGGCATCTCCAACTTCATGAGCTCGCGCAGTCCTGCGAGACGTGCGTAGGCGCGCATCCGAGGATCGCCGGGACCGCCGGGTTGTGGCGGATTCAAGCCGTTCGGGCCAGTTGGGTAGACGAACCCTGTAACTGCCGCGAGGCTTGTGCGGTAAACGGCAGTGTCGGTAAACGGCTGAATCTCCACCCGATGATTGCGGTACCCGTCGTAGCGCTCGATCACCAGCGTGTGCAGCCGGGCGATCAACGACTTGGTCCGGGCGTTGCGCGCCACTTCGCTGGCGACCGCCGCGGCGCCCAAGAGGAGCGACGCCAGGATGCCGATGATCGCGATCGCGACCATCAGCTCGACGAGGGTGAGCGCCCGACGGCGAAAGTGGAAAGGGGAAAGGCGAAAGTGGAAGGAGCGCGCAGAGGGGGACTGTGCTAGGCGATAGCTTCGCATTCCCCTTTCCGCATTCCCCTTTCCGAATTCGATCATTCCTGTGCCCCCTCCAAGATGCCGTTGGTGAAGTTGGCCTGCGTGTCGGCGAGCTCCGCCGTCCACGGGCCTTCGGGGTAGAGCGTCTCGGTCGGGGCCATCGTTCCGTCGTTGACAACATGCGGGAACGCCAGCGATGCGCCGCTATTGGGGTCGATGAACAACCACTCGCGGTCGAAGCCGGCGTGGAGGACTTGGAACTGGCCCTTGTTGGCGAAATCGTAACCCGCGCCCACCGATTTGCGTTGCTTGATCGCGTAGACGAGCTTCGTCTGGTCGAGCAATTCTTGCAGCCCCTCGGAGCCGGCGTGATTGACCGGCTCGGTGGCCGCCGGGACGTCGTTCGCGGCGGTGACGCCAGAGCCACGCGAGGCGTCGAAGTAGACGTATGGCGCGGGCGAGTTGCCCGGCGTCAGCACCCACATGTTGATGCGGCGCCTGGTATTGCCGCTCGGGTCGCGTGGATCGGCGTAGTCGATGAACCGAGTGTAATTCTTGGAGAAGTAGCCGTCATTGCCGCGCGGACCGAGGTTCTCGACCTTGATGCCGAGCTGCCACGAACGCTGGTCGATCGGGTCGGCTTCGCTCGGATCCGTTATCGGGGGGGGGAGTGTCGAGATCAGGTAGGACGGGCCGCCGCTTCCGGTGATCGGATACTTCGGGTCGCTGCTGAATCCACCGACCCAGAACACGGCCGCCTCGGCCGCGGTCATGCCGCCGGGGAGGTTCGTGGCGATGTTCTGCTCGCTGGTCGTTGCCACGCCTACTAAGGCCTTGATCAGCGCCTCGTGCTCGCGGTGCTGCGGGAAGGCTTTCAGCATGAACTGCTTGAAGTCGGTGAGGACGGTGTTTTCATTGATCGGGCCGCCCGCATCGGTCTGGGCGTTCGGCGGGAAGCTGCCGGACGAGTTTTTGAGGTCCTTGATGGCGGCGTCGATCTGGTTGATCTCGGTAGTGATCGCCGCCCGCTGCGCCGCAATCCGCGCCTGCTGCACGCCCACGAGCAACAGCGCCGTGAGGATGCCGATGATCGTGATGACGACCAGGAGCTCCACGAGGGTGAAGCCGGGGCGGTGTGATGTGTTGGTCCGTGAGGCCAATGCGGAATGCGGAATGCGGAATGCGGAATGNNGGCCGCTCTCGTTCTTGGATCCGCATGGTTTCGTTCCTTCCGTTATTGATAAGTCTCAAGTTATTCCGCCTTCCCCTTTCCACATTCCCCTTTCAGGAGAGGCCCTCGATCAGCTTCACCAGCGGGATGAACAGCGCGATGACGATGAAGCCGACGGCGCCGCCGAGGAAGATCACCAAGAGCGGTTCGAGCAGCTTCGTTAGCGAGTCGGTGCGCACGGCGACGAGCTCGTCGTACACGTCGGCGATCTTGTAGAGCATCGTGTCGAGCTCGCCGGTCTCTTCGCCCACGTCGACCATGTTCACCACGAGGTCGTCCACGATCCGCTGCTTGTACTTGAGGAGGTACAAGAGCAGGCCGATCGGGCCACCGACGAAGCAGAACCAGAACAGCGCCGCGATGGGGTGGAATCCCGGCACCGAGTTCAGCTTCATCGGGGCGGCGATCGCTTCGCCCTCACGGATGGCGTCGCTGATCTTCTGATACATCCGCTCGAAGATCGCGTTGCCCGCCGTGTCGCGGGTGATGTTGAGCGCCTCGAGGATCGGCACGCCCGAGGCGATCAGGGTGCCCAGCGTCCGCGTCGTCCGCGCGAGGATGTTCTGCTCCACTAGCGGGCCGAAGATCGGCACCTTGAGCGTGAACTGGTCCCAGCCGATGCGGCCGTGTCTGAATTTTCGTAGGAGTTTGATGAACAGCCAGATACAGACCGGGATGCCTGGGATCAGGTACCAGTAGTTGACCGTCCAGTTCGAGACCGCGACGAGGAACAGCGTCGCGGTGGGGAGTTCGAGGCCGAAGTCGTCGAAAATCTGTTCGAACGCCGGGACAATGGCGATCATGATGAACGTCAAGATGCCGACCGCGACGGTGACGACCACCACCGGGTAGATCATCGCCCCTTTGATCTTACGCTTGAGGGACTCGGATCGTTCTTTGAAGTCGGCCAGACGCTGGAGAATGAGCTCCAGGGCGCCGCCCGCCTCGCCCGCCTTGATCATGTTGACGTAGAGCCGGTCGAAGCACTTGGGGCTCTTGGACATCGCCTCGGAGAGCGTCGAACCGCCCTCGATCTCTTCGCAGGTGTCTTCGAGCGAGTACTTGAGGCGTCCGGGCTTGGCCTGCTCGGCGAGGATGCGCAAGCTCCGCACGATCGGCAGGCCCGCGTCCTGGAGGATCGAGAGTTGGCGGGTGAACGTGGTCAGCTCACGCGACTTCACACCGCCGAACACAAAGCCGCGGTTCTTCTTCTTCGCGCTTGCCGTCTCGGCCTTCTTACGGACCTTCTTGACGTTGATCTTGGTGACGAAATAGCCCATCTGGCGGATCGTCGCCTGCGCTTCTTCCTCCGTGGGCGCTTCGATCACGTCCTTGATCTCGGCGCCGGTGGCGTCCATCGCTTCGAATTGAAACGTCGGCATGGTGTTTCCTTCGGAAACAGCGGTTAGCAGTTAGCGGTTAGCCAGTTACTGTGCGGTTCGTCTGTCGTCAGCTAACGACCAACAGCCAACCGCTAATTGCTTCTTAAGCTTCCAGCACCGTCTCGCGGACGACTTCGTCCACGGTGGTGGTGCCCTCGTACATCGCCTTCATGCCGGCCGAGCGGAGGGTGACCATGCCCTCCTTCTCGGCCGCGTTACGGAGTTCTTCGGTCTGGCAATTCTGCATGATCAGGTCGCGGAGGTGATTCGACATGATCAACAGCTCGAACAGGCCGACGCGGCCCTTGTAGCCGGTGTTGTTGCAGATTTCGCAGCCGCCGCCGCGGTAGAACTTCTTCCCTTTCACGTCGGCGGGGGTGAGGTCGAGGTCCGCCAGCAGTTCGGCCGAGGGGTGGTACTCTTCCTTGCAGTTCTTGCAGATGCGCCGCACCAGTCGCTGGGCGAGGATCGCCTCGACCGTCGCGGTGATGAGGAACGTCGGCACGCCCATGTCCTTGAGGCGGGTGATCGTGCTCGGCGCGTCGTTGGTGTGCAGCGTGGAGAACACGAGGTGGCCCGTCAGCGACGCCTGCACCGCGATCTCGGCGGTCTCCAAGTCGCGGATCTCGCCCACCAGCACCTTGTCGGGGTCCTG